AGTACCAGCTCCATAAACAACCTGCCACGTGCAAACATTGAATCATGTGTTTCTGAAATCAATCAATGGATGAACCAAAACTTTCTAAAACTCAACAGAAATAAGACAGAATTCATTGTTTTTGGAACAAAATCTACACTTAACAAAATCAAGCAGATTACCCTCCAACTGGACCACACCACCATCTCCCCCCTCCTCAGGTTCGTAACCTTGGTGTAACCTTGGACCCAACCCTCTCATTCGACCCACATGCATTCCATAATAAAAACAGCTTTCTTCCATCTTCAGAACATCGCCCGGCTTAAGCCCTTCCTTTCCAGCTCTGCTGAGTCCCTTATTCATGCCTTTAGATTACTAGATTACTGCAACTCATTACTTGCTGGTATTACTGGTAAATCCAAGCTCCAAATAGTTCAGAACTCTGCTGCCTGCCTCCTCACCCACACTCGCTCCTACCAGCACATCGCTCCCATACTTCAGAGCCTTCACTGGCTCCCTATAAAAGAACGTATCTATTCTAAAATACTTCTCTAGACATTCAAAGCTCTCAACCACCAAGCCCCATCTTATCTTTTTGAACTGCTTCTCCCCTACCAGTCTCCCCGCAGTCTTACATCCTCCTCTTCTGGCTCTCTCCTTATCCCTCCTTCCAAACTCCACAGCTCTAGTGACCACACATTTTCCCACCTAGCTCCCCGACTATGGAACTCCCTCCCTAATGCTATTCCTCAGTTGCTCTCGGTCTCAGATTTCAAACACAAGTTTGAACCTTTTTGTTCGCTTTTTGTTTGCTTAAGCTTATGATGTTCTTTATGCATAATGTGCTTTGTTGTTTTGTTATCTGTTTACTTCATTACTTCATTTCTTGTGTTCTTATTGAAACATCTTTGAGATCTCGAAAAGTGCTATATGAGTAATATTTATTATTATTATTATTATTATTATTATTATTATTTAGGAAAGTTTTTTAAAAAGGAAGTAGCAACAGATAACTATTGCAAACCATTCTACAAATTCTTAGAAAATCAGACTTGGTAGATCCCTTTGTAATTCTGGATAATTACAACTGAGAACACTATTAAATGTCTCTTTCTGTGTATAAAGTGGAGCAGAGATGACTCATGTGTAACTGTAACCCAGATGCCAGTCTGGGTCATTACACAGCTCCCGTTATGACCACTCATGCAAAATATTCTGTACCAGAAATGGGTTCTTTAAATAAGCAAATAATGGAAACCACCACATTTTCCTGTTTTATGAAGTTTCTGTGGGGTTAAGACAAGTAATGCAGCTCTGCCTCTATATAAGACAGAGCAGAGGCGCCTCTCAGACCAGACTCAGCTCCTCTCTGTCCTCCAGCACACGGCTGCTCCTCTCTCTCGTTCTCTCTCTCTCTCTCTCTCTCTCTCTCTCAGCTTTATTCGTCAAGTGTGCTGGGGCACACAAGGAATTTGGTTCCGGCTGCTAGAGACTCCCTAGTATACAGACAATAAATGGCACTGTACAAACAATAAATGACACTATACAAGAAATAAAATTTGAAATATACACACATAGGTAACACTGTACAAGTATAAGGTGTGATGTTGAGTGCAAACAGCGTTTAAGGGGGGAAAATTGACAGAAGGGAAATTATACAGCTTAGCTGTTTATGAGGGTGATGGCCTGAGGGAAGAAGCTGCTCCTATATCTGGTGGTTTTTGTGTACAGAGTTCTGTAGCGCCTGCCAGAGGGGAGGAGCTGGAAAAGGGTCCAGGGTGTGACGGTCCTTGCATAGTACAAGTCCTGGATGGAGGGCAGGGGGGCACCGATGATTTTTTCCGCTGCCCTCACTGTTCGCTGCAGTCTCCCTTGGTTCTGTTTGGTGGTTGCTCCAAACCACACTGTGTCTGATGAGCAAAGGACAGACTCAATGACAGCAGTGTAGAACTGGCTCAGCAGCTCCCGTGTCTCCTTAGTTGCCGCAGGAAGTACATCCTTTGCTGGGCCTTTTTGAGGACGGAGTTGATGTTGGGCTCCCACTTCAAGTCTTGGGAAATGGTTGTTCCCAGAAACTCCACTGTTGCCACAGGACTGTTGGATATGGTGAGAGGAAGAAGTGCCTGACGGTGCCTCCTGAAGTCCACTGTCATCTCCACAGTCTTCAGCGTGTTAAACTCCAGGTTGTTCTGGCAAAACAAATGCCGTGAGGTTGGGGAAAATGGGGTTTATTCAGCAAAACAGGACATCACGCAGAAACAAAGGCCCATATGCAGCAAGCGTGGGATCAAACCAGACAGGCTAGCCTTCACTTGGGTGCCCATGACCCTGTCTTCGGTTCACTTTGGACTACTTTTGGTAGGTACTGATCCCTGCAGACTGTGAACACCCCACAGGACCTTCCAGTTTGGACATGCTCTGTCATCTAGTCCTCACAATTTGGCCCTTGTCAAAGTCACTCAGATCCTTAAGTTTGCCCATTTTTCCTGCTTCCAACACATCAACTTCAAAGACTGACTGTTCACGTACCTAATAGATAATGACACCCTTGACACATGCCATTATAGTGAGATAGTCAATGTTATTCACTTCACTTGTCAGTGCTTTTAATGTTTTGACTGATTGGCGTATTTAGCACTATAAACAGCCTTTGTAAACTGCTCCTACATACTCTATGTCATCAACAGCCTGTGAGGATTTTCTCTGACTTTTTGTTCATGGAATTGATGATATAATGTCACATTGCATCCTCTGTTGATTATTCATCTGTCCCTGCTGTATGCTCCACTGTCCTTCATTAATTTTAACCTGTACCTCTCCCTTTTTTGGTAAGTTATTTGTAACCACAACCTGTCAGATATCATTTCCTCTTGTCGTCTTAAAGATACTTTTGATGTAGTTTAAACATGCTGGGGTGCAGCTTTCTCTTAAAACCTTACTCACCTATGTGAAAGATATTAAAACATGAGTGTGTCATGCCCTGCTCGTCCAATCCTCCCGTGTGCCACGCCCCCTCATCTAGCGCGTGTGGAATCCCTGTGTTACTAGCTGTTTCTTGTTGCTGTCATTAGTTCAATGTATTTAAGTCCGCGTTAAGTTTGTTTCCCCAGTCCGGTCATTTAAGTCTGAGGTCTGTTTGATGTTCCTGTTTTCTCGCTCTTTAATAAATCCTCATTCACCCAATTCCTCGGCTCTGGCTGCTGCTTCCCCGCTCCGTGCTTGAGCGCAATCAGGACAAGTGTGAGAATTTTTTCTTAATTTAAATTACAAAAAATTTAGTTGTTTAGGCTCTCTGACCTTAGCTGTACTCCTGAAAATAACCTTCTGACAACCTACTCTAAACCTTTTGCTAAAAACGTTTTTGTAATTTTTTTGATAGTGCCCTTTGACAAACTTGACTATTGCAACTCATTACATACTGGAGTGAACCAGTCATCCCATTCTCATCTATACTTAGTCCAGGATACTGTGGCCAGACTCCAGACCAGTGCAGAAAAACATAATAATATCACAACAATCTTAAGCTCTCTTCTCTAGTTCACTACAGGACCATTTTTTAAATCTTATTGTTTGTTTTTAATCCTCTGAATGGTTTATCTCCCTTCTATCTTGTTGATCTCACACCCTTATTTTTTTAACATTTAGGTCCTCTCACCACATGTTTCCGGTCATGTTAAGGTCTACACTTAAGCTCAGAGGTGAGTGTGCATTTGTGGTAACTGCCCCTAAACTTTGTAATTGTAATTAACCCCTTTGATTTTTGTAATCACTTTTAAATCCAGTTTAAAAACCCATGACAGGACTGGGGAACACAGGATGGAGGAACACCTATAAACACTGTTAACAATGAGTATGTGAGGGGCAGGTGTAGCCAAAACAAACTCATAACAAGGAGTTGGAAAACAGCTGGGCTGAGCACCAATGAAAGGGCACAGCAGTGACATCTGCTGGCCAAACAGAGATACAACAGAGTTGATGAAAACGGTGCTTGACGGCATCTTTTCTTCCTGGTTTTTTAAATAAGTGTTTATTGTTATTTTTATGCTGTTTATGTCAAAACTAACCGAAATTGATATTAAATATTTTATCATTAATGTTTTTAAATATGTAGCTTAAGTAATGATTTGTTTATCCTTAATTACCATGAATACATGTTTTTGTCCATTGTGAGGACAGGAGTATTATTATGCACTGCGTGCTCATGCTGGATTCTCCAAAGACATAAAACAGCTCTTCAACTTACAGTCTATTCCTGGAGATAAGATTAGTAAAACAAACTGAAACCAAAATGTATAAAAATTAAACAGAAATGTATTTTCAAAATAAAAGCTATCTATCCATGCATCTTCTATACCTACTCGTCGTATTCAGGGTCCACAGCCTGTCCTGCTGGCCACAAGGCACGGAATAACCCAGGATGGGGGGCCAGTCCACCACATGTTTATGGACTGCGGGGGGGGGGACTGGAGAACCCAGAGCTAAGCCCAAAATGACACGGGGAGCACATGCATCCCACGGCGAGTCGGGTGGGGACTCAAACGCCAGTCCCAGAGGTGTCAGGCAGCAGTGCTAACCACTGCAGCATCATACTGTCCCCGAAATAAAAGCTAATAAAACCACACTGAAACATACTAAAACTGAGTTACAAATGAAAATTGCAAATAATATAAAATTTACTGGTGTTGGAAGTAGGAAAAATGGGCAAGTGTAAGGATCTGAGTGAGTTTGACAAGGGCCAATATAAAATATAAAATTTTTACTAAAAATCTATAAACTATAATGACACTAGTGTGTGTTAGAGAAACATACCAGAAGCAGCAGTTCAGCTGTAGTGGCTTTGCAGTTAAAACTGTGGTTCACAAGCCGCTTGGTTTGCTTTCCCACTATATCCAAAGGCTGCTAAAAAAACGGCGGCATTCTGGCTTCCCATCCCTGTGTCCCGTGGAGCTGTTTAGTGTCATAAAATCGGGTTTCTGTTCTGCTCATTTTAACCATAATGGACATAATGTACTACGTTTCTTTTCCATTCAAAACTTTATTTGTCGTTCTAACTTCCACATCATTAAACATTGCACAAATCTTAGAAAAACAATACATTTTTGCCATTAGTAGGTATGAAAAGGTAATAAGATACATAAAAATTTTTCCTTCAAAAAAAAACTTAAACAAGTGCAATACAAAAATACAAAAAGATGGAAATACACATTTTAAATTATTTTACTGGTAAAGCTCCTAATCTAACATTCATGAGAGTCTCTCAGCTTCAATGACATATATGAATTTTAGCTTAATGGCAGCACAAGTGTTGATATAGAGGCTATTGGGAGATGATTCCTGAGGGAATAACGACGCCACAGGTGGGGAATGAGCAGGTCTTCATGGAAATAGGCCACCAGCCTGAAGGCCCATGAATTTCCATCGCAAGAGTGTCAAGCTGGTGCCTGCAGGGATGGAAACGCTGGACTGGCTCGCAAACTTCAGCGGCACAAAAAGGAGGCCACAGGAATGCCGCCTCCTCCCCTACTGCCGCCCCTTCTTGTCCTCGATTTTGCTGATGAGCGTCTGCACCCAGGGCTGGCTGGACTGGGCACACACCTTGAAGCCACGACGGGTGGTGAACCTGCCAGAGAGGGGAAGACGGACATAAACAGCATGTCCTGTATATCTGTACTATGCCCAGCATTTTTCTGGACATTTTTATTTGCATTTTATTCGCAAAGAATAATTAAAACATTTTAATTAAAACATATAAGAGTATGTTTAAGGAGTAGAAATGACAGCCAAATCCCTCTTTGTGCTGATCGGTTCAGGCACATTTACTTGAACTTAAATTGGTCACAAGAATTTTTAAATGCAAAACAAGTTTTAGAAACCCTGTTTAGGGGATAATGAGCTAGGATCCATTATAGTCACAGACAGGGACTAAGGCACACTGCCCAGCTCGGTTTTTTTTTATCAAGGCACCGCATTGATTGAATTCCTGCAGTAAATCCAGCGGAGCAAATGAGGCATGCACTGACTGAGACGGACAGACAGCGACTGGCAGACTTACACCACGGCAGCATTGGGGCACTGCTGGCTGGTCTTTCTGTAACTGCTCACTTGTTGTGGCTTCAGTTCTTTTGTGACAAAGGAAAAGCAGCAGCTCTTGGGTTCGGTGGCCATCCGCACACCTGCAGCACATGCATACAAAGACTTTGGTCAAGCAAAGCACTTACACGTGATTTTAAAAATGACCTTGAGCATTCTAATACTACTACTACTACTACTACTACTAATAATAATAATAATAAGAGCTTAATAATCCATTCCAATAATCCAAGAGCATCCATCCATTCATATTCCACACCACTCATCCACTATAGGGTCACAGTGATATACATGACACATTCATCATCATCCTTCTCATCATCACCACCACTGTTTCTCCAATTGTAGTTTGCAGTCACTACATGCCGAGTCAGACCAGACTCCCTTAACTTTCCTTACACAGACTATTAACATATTAATGTTTCAAAAGCACACATATCTCTATCTACTACGTTTGTGTGTGTATATATAGTATACACAAGGTCAATAACATTATGGATCTTACTTGAGAAATACAAATTCATAGTTAAAATCCAATAGGTTTACCAGTATTCCTCACAGACAGGCTCAAAACGAGAAAAAAGCACTGATATTTCTAAAGCTTCCAGCTCGACTAGTAAATGTTCCCCACCTTCTGTGAGCATCATGGCGCTGAGCAGCACCACGGCCAGAGGGAGCAGTAGACGGGCAGCTGACATATCGATTCTGAGCTTGAGTGAAGGCTTCTTGTGATCCGGGCTAGAGGAGGCTGCTGGTTGCTCCAGGAGAGGATCACTGGTCTGAGGATCTGCTCTGGCCCATGGAGTTTTATAGATCCCTCGGTGATGCGGGGAAGACCCCTCACTTGCGGGGGAAATCCTCACTCTCTCACATAAGTGAAACTCTCACTGTACTGGAGGTTATTTTTGGGGTCAGAGGCGGGACAGTCCAGCTCTGTGCTTTCTTCCGTCATAGCTTTGTTTGAGCTCATGCTGATGGATGTCAGCATGAGAAGGCCTGTGTCAACCGAGTCTCTTAGCTCTCACTTCCCTCTTTCAGTACCTCTTTCGATTCCACGTCAGCACCGTTTCAACTGAATGGAAGCTCACACACACACAAAAAAAAGATGCACAGCCTTTTATGTTTATAACAGTACCATGTTTTACACACATTCCAGACATGCTCATAAAAATGGCACAGAACCACAATACTAGCTCACATTTATCTACCTGCTACATCTGAAAGTTTCCATGGGTTAAGGAGTCGAACATCAGCTTGTGCATTTGTGCTACCTCTCCCACTGACAGAAAAAACAGATCCAGATACAGATATAAGAGATGTGCGATACTGTGAAATGCTCTTTCCTTGGCTCCCACACAGTCCATGTAGGTGGGCCTAGCGATTCCCTCTGTCATGAGTGTTTTTGTTTTTCTGACAATGTGTTTGTCTTTTTTGTCTGTTGGTGTTAAAAGCATAATGCAAAACAGAGACAATAGCAGGTCAGTGGACAACTTTGTTTCATAGTTAGTGAAGCTTATGTACTTGGTTGGAGTTGAAGGGGTAGACCATGTGTTAATGTGCATGACACAAGGAGAATATGCAAACTCCACTCAAATTAAGGAACAGCTAGATTTGAACCCAGAACCCTAGAGGTACAAGGCAATGAAACAACTGACAGAGTCATCATGCTGCCATTATACTTCCTGTTCTTCTTTTTATTACTATTATTATTATTATTATTATTATTATTATTATTATTATTATTGTTGTTGTTGTTGTTGTTTTCATTGTTGTTTTGTTTGTTTATAAGTCATTTTTTAAATTAGAACTAGTAGCAATGGTTCAGATCACATTAGTCATTTTGTTTAATGCTGATTTAATTTGATTGAGTGCGGATACTATGCAATGCGACTAGTTAGGCCTTAACTAGCTGCCACTAGGCACCATCTGCCATAAAGCAGCCCTTAAATCGTCACCTTAAGTCTTCATTCTGCTTCGGTTGACTGTACATCAGGCATGGTTTGGGCATCGGGAAGTCCGGTAATTTTCCCAGTAGGCCGGTCTTTCTCCCCAATGTCAGCATTACGTAGCCTGTACACTAAGGTGCCCAACCTGTTGGTTGATTATGTACAGTAGGCATTTTCTCCATGCAGATCGCATCAGAATATAATGGATAATGGGCCTCATTCACCAACCATTCTTACGAACAAATTTGTTCTTAAACAGCCCCTTTTGTCCCACTCTGTGTCCCTTCCCTGTTTGGCCAGCAGGCGTTGCTGGTCATCCCGTCCCTCCTGTTGTCAGTCTTTGTGTTTTCCCTTGTTACCTGTTTGGCCACATGGCTCAACACATTGTGCATGTGGCTGCCTGTGATCCCTGTCTTATGTTCAAATCCCACCTCCTCTGTTTTTGTAGATTTTGTTCCTTTGTGTTTCAATTGTATCAGTTTTCCAGTCCCTGTGTTTCATTTGTATTTGGTTTTGGTTTTTGCTCTTGATTGGTTTTTACCTGTTAGTTTCTGTTTCCTTGCTTAGTTCTCGGTTTCCCTGTTTTATTTCCTTTGAATTAATTAGTTTCATCTGTGCCCTTTTTTCCCAGTCTTTGTTAATTAGCCTCACCTGTCCAGTGTTAGTCTCGTTACCCCTTAGTATTTTAGTCCCTGCTTCTGTCCAGTTCCCTAGTGGTTCATTGTTTGTGATGTTTGATGTTTGAAATAGTTGTTAGTGTAGTTTTGGATATTCTGTTAGTTGTCTGCTGCCTACTGGCCTGAACCCCCCTTTGTAAATTTAGTCTTTGTTTATCCCCTTTTGTTTTTGACCCCTCGTGGTCATTTTGATTTTTGTTGTGTTCATAGTGTTTTCTGTTTTGTTAAATAATCCCCTGTTCTTTGAGTCGCAAGTGGGTCGTCCACCTTTTCTGCCTGTGTCATGCCACGTCCCCGCTCCAAACCCGCCTGGATCCTTGACGCTCACGTTCTGACATTCACCAATGTTTTCTTATCTAAGAACAGAATCTATGCAAACTCAAGACCATTCATACGCACATTTGAGTAATGATAGTTTGTTCAAAATAATCGGTTATAGCAGTTTTGTTCATTCTACAGTCGATAAAATGATAGTATTTGACTAATTTATAAAAGTAAAATATAAAAAATAATTTTAAAGTGTAAAAACTATTTCCATGGTAGTAACGGCAATCATGCGGATTATAAATGGGTCTGTTTCTGTGCATTGGCCTTGCTATCAAAATGACATTTCCGTTACTTCTTGAAGAGCTTGACAATCGTGCTCTGAGAAGGGAACGCATGTTTGAAGATCATTTACATTTATTTGCTGATGAGTACTTAATTTCAAGGTTTAGGCTTCCAAGACCGGTCTTAACTGGAGCCTGTGCTGCGAAGCCATACAGGTACATGACGCTCGAACCCTGTGCCACCACATATGCAAGTACTTTGCACCTTGGGCTTTTAGCCACTGGGGGGGGGGGTGTCCCCCTCCAGTGGTCGTCATATATTTCCCATGTCTGGAGATGGCTTTTTTTGACGTCGGATTTTAAATCAAACCATTTATTTTTCACCTCCTCTAATGTGTGCCGTTCTCCGGACACAGCGTTCACAGATAAGGTTTGCTTTTAGTTACCTTACATTTCAAAAAGCAAGTGATGTTTCACACAGCTCCTGATAGACCTACAGTGTGTGCGCATATGAGCACCTAATGAGACTGATTCACTTCTTGCTGAAGCAGGCCCACCTGGGGAAACTGAAGATGTCATTTGTTGAATATTACATGACACTCTGTTTTTGGAATCCTACTCTCAATGATTTTATAAGTTAACCCAGAAATTTTGGACATATTTACCAAGCCTGTGTGCAGTGGATAATAAAAGTCTATAGACCTTTATTCAAGCTGGAGGTTTTTGTGATTTAAAGTCAGTAATCAAGAAAAATCATGTCAGTCATCCTCCCACTGCCAGAAGTGGACCGAGTCCATCATCAGGGATGCCAGCCACCCTGCTCATGCCCGCTTTGCATTCCTACTCTTAGGAAGGTGCTACCGGTTTATCACCATCTGCATCTGCCGCTGCAGAGGTCGCTTCTTTCCCCAAGCCATCAGGTTGCCAAGCAACCAGTGACCTAACCTGGCCACTGCATAATCACTGCCATCAACAGTACTAATACAAAGTATTAGCTGGGGAAATGCTTGTGCATCAGGGGGAGATATATGTACACTACATTGCCAAAAGTATTGGGACATCCCTCCAAATCATTGAATTCAGGTGTTCTAATCACTTCCATAGCCAGAGGTATATAAAATCAAGCACCTCGGCATGCAGACTGCTTCTACAAACATTTTTGAAAGAATGGGTCACTCTCAGGAGCTCAGTGAATTCAAGCGTGGTACAGTGATAGGATGCCACCTGTGCAATAAGTCCATTTGTGAAATTTCCTCGCTACTAAATATTCCACGGTCAACTGTTAGTGGTATTATAACAAAGTGAAAGTAATTGGGAAGGACAGCAACTCAGCCATGAAGTGGTCGGCCACGTAACATGACAGAGCTGGGACAACGCATATGTTGAGGTGCACAGTGTGTAGAAGTTGCCAACTGTCTGCAGAGTCAATAGCTACAGACCTCCAAACTTCGTGTGGCCTTCAGATTAGCTCAAGAACGGTGCATAGAGAACGTCATGGAATGGGTTTCCATGGCCGAGCAGTTGCACCCAAGCCTTACATCACCAAATGCAATGCAAAGCATTGGATGCAGTGCTGTATAGCACACTGCCACTGGACTCTAGAGCAGTGGAGATGTGTTCTCTGGAGTGATAAATCACTCTTCTCTGTCTGGAAATCCAATGGATGAGTCTGAGTTTGGCAGTTGCCAGGAGAATGGTACCGTACTTGCCTGACTGATTTGTGCCAAGTGTATATTTTGGTGGAAGGGGGATTGTAGTGTAGAGTTGTTTTCCAGGGGTTGGATTTGGCCCCTTACTTCCAGTGAAAGGAACTCTTAATGCTGCAGTGTTCAAATCCATTTTGGACAATTTCATGTTCCAATCTTTGTGGGAAGAGTTTGGGGACGGCCCATTCCGGTTCCAACATGACGACACGCTAGTGCACAAAGCAAGGTCCATAGGGACATGGACGAGCGAGTCTGGTGTGGAGGAACTTGACTGGCCTGCACAGAGCCCTGACCTCAAGATGATAGAACATCTTTGGGATGAATTAGAGCGGAGACTGAGTGCCAGGCCTTCTCATCCAACATCAGTGCCTGACCTCACAAATGCTCTCCTGGAAGAATGGTGAAAAATTCCCATAAACGTTGTGGACAGCCTTCCCAGAAGTGTGTGTGTGTGTGTGTGTGTATGTATGTATATATATATATATATATATATATATATATTAAAGCATTTAATGTTTAAAGTTATAGAGATGCTGGGCGTAGCTGTTTATATCCTGCTTATACTGTATCCTCAAATTTTCCGGCAATTTGCCAAATTATCTGGCAAATGTTTTTACCAGATGTGAAGATGAATTAATGAATATTACATTTATATAGCGCTTTTCAGAACCACCATGAGTGTAACACCCACCTGGATGATGCAACAGCAGCCATTTTGCAGAGGTAATGGTTCCTGTTCATGGCACTTGTGATTAAAGGTCAGACCAGCAGCCTTTTACATAATATCAGCAGCCTTGAGTGGTTAAACAGGGGTGTGGAAAGGTTATGCCCTATACAAGATCAAGTTGCAAGTTTCAAGTGGCTTTTTACATCTTTATTTTAGCACACAGCAAAACTGTGTGGGTCTGGACTGTACCAGACACTCTTAAAAACATTAATTATAAAAAAAGAATTTTTGGAAATCTGGAGATCGGAGTTTCTTTTTTCTGTGAACCTTTGTCAT